GGGTGGCAGTGGGGATGAGCACCAGGGGCCTAGGGGTGACAAAGGGGTCAAGGGCTGGGGGTGAGAGTCAGGAGCGATGGTGGGGGTGCAGGGATGTGAGGGACATAGGGTGGCACAGGGAGCTGGGAGCCATGGAGGCAGCACAGGAGTGGCAGAGAGGAGCAGTACCTTCAGGCTCACCTCAGAACCGGCCAAGGGGATGCAGAGAACCTTCACCCCAATAAAGCCTTGGTGTGCAGCCCCATGCCTGTGCCCTCTGTGTGTGTAGTTAATGGGTGGGGGGCTCTAATGGGTGCAGGAGACATGAGGTGACCTGGGATGGGGGAAGCAGTCTCTACCACAACAAGATCCCACTGCAGCCCCCAGCATCTTCCCTTTGCCTCCGAACACATGCTGGAACCACATGTCCCCTATCACTGTGCACTGCCCCAGCTCCACTGCAACCCCAAGCCACTAACTGCCATGGGGTGGCCTAAGGGGAACCAGGTACAGTTTGGCAGCTTGTCCAAGGTGACTTCCTCCCTCTGCAGTTTTGGAGCCCATGGCAGCCCATGGCTGCTATTGGCTCCAGATGCCACCATCCACTGGGGCAGCCCTGTGCCTCTGTTTCTGTGTCTTGCCATGCCCTGAGCCCACAGGGAGATGTCACTAACATGCACCAGATGCTGCTGTGCCTGGGAATGCAGACCCTCCATGCCCCTAACTTGGGCACGAGACAGCAGCACCCTTGCTGCAATGGCAAATTGGTACTTTGGGCTGTTGGGCAAATCATTGCCCCCTCTAAAGGGGCACAACCACTTTCCTGACCATTCCGTGATGGTCTTGTGCCCCAAGGAGTAGCAGGGTTGTGGGGCAGGGTGGCAGTGCTTGGGGATGGGGTGGCAGGGAACAGGCAGCATTGGAAAGGGGTCATGGTAGGAGTTGAGGTGGCTGAATAATGGACAAAGGACCACCCTAAAGGATGATGGCATCTGGGCCCCCTGACCCCTTGTGTACCTCCAGGCCACCCTATGGCAGTTGGTGGCTTGGGCCAGGGCTGGGGTGATGCAAGGCTGCAGGGGACATGTGACTCCAGCATCCCTATAAGGGCCAAGGCAGGCAGAAGCTCCGAGCCCCAAGGTGAGGAGCAGGGACAGGAACAGGGATGGCACTGGGGACACAGCCCTGTGCTGCTGGGCTGGAGCTGGGGAACAGGGGAAAGACAGCCCTGAATCTGGTATATGCAGTTCTGTGATGCCCTGGGGATGTGGTGGGAGGTGCATGATGGCATGGGTGGCACAGAATCAGATGTGACCCCAGGAATGGCAAGAGGCTTCAGAGCATGAGGGACATAGGGGTGGCTGAGGGCTGGGGGTGGCAGGAGGGACATGGGGAATGGGTGGCGCTGAGGATGATGGGGGTCAGAGACTCAGGAGTGATGGGACTGAGGGCTGGGAGGGAGGGGTAGGGCTGGTGCTGGAGACACCAGAGGAGACAAAGGACATGGGGTAGCATGAGAGACCAGGTGCCATGAGGACCATCAGGGCTGGCCAAGGGCTCTCCTGAGATGATCCCAGGGAACACATGTCCATGGGGCAAGAGATCCTCCAGGCCTGCCATGTCCCCATGGCTCCTCACAATGTAGCCTGGCCTGCTCCTTGTCCTGACCCTGCTGGGCATGGCCTCTGCCCTCTGCCCCAGTGAGTAGCTCGGGGACCACTAGGGACACAGTGGGAACAGCTCAAGGACACCCCTGTCCCCAGTCTCAGGGCACTGGGGTTGGTGGGGGGCCAGAGGGGACACTCCAGCCTACCCTCAGCCTCCTGGCACACTGTGGAGGTACCTGCAGGCAGAGAAGAGGTGCTTTGTGGTGGTGAAGGCATTGCGCACCTACAAGCGTGCCCAGCTGAGAGGGATGGGGAGGTCAGCAGGATGCCAGGCTCCCATGGGCGCTGCCAGTGTCATCTGTGTCCTTCAGACCTACTGCCAGGACATATACAAGGGACAGCTGGCCTTGGTGCACATCACAGCCACTAACGAACTGCTGAGGAAGCTGGCAGCCACGTACACCTACTGCAACCTCTGGATCAGGGCTGTCACCAGTTGCAAGGTAACAGGACCCAGCAGGCATCCAGGGCTTGGCCAGGGGTGGGTGCAGGATGCTGAGCCCTGCTGCCACAGGGTGGGTCATGGAAGACATCCTGGGAGGACCTGAGCTCCTGGAACTATGCAAACTGGGCCAGCAGGCAGCCCTGCCAATGGTACAGAACCTGCACCGTGTTCAAGCCAAAGGTAAGCACAGCCCTGCACCAGGGCACAGGCTCTGGTGCTGGGAGCAATGGGTGGGGGGGCATTTAGTGGGGACAGGTACTGGGAGTGTGTCACCAGACACGGGACACTGAGATGGGGCACGAGGACAGAGGACAGGGAGTCTGTGGGTCTCCCTGTGTCCCTGACAATGGGTCCTGTCCATAGACGGGCTCTGGAGAAGTAGAGCCTGCTTCCTGCTGCACTTGTTCCTCTGTCAGCAGTGAGAGAGTGCCCGGGGGCCCTGCCATGGCTCCCCAGTGCCCAGGGACTCACAGTGGCCCGTGTCACTGTCCCAGTAAAGTGCCTCACAAACTGCCTTGAGGCCACATGTCCATGTGTTTTAGGGCCGGGGGGAGACTGGAGGCAGAATGGGGCTCAACCCCACAGCAGATACTGGAGAAGCTCCAAGGGTGTGGGGCACTGGGTGGGAGCAGCACCACAGGCAGAGGCTTTGGAATATTTATTCTATCCCAAGCACACCCACCCCTCAGTGTGCCCCCCGGCACAGTCCCATCCCTCCCCCAAAGTCCAGTAGAAAAAAGCTGGATGGTAGTGCAGGGCTCAATGGGGTGTCTGGGCGGGGGTATCGGCACTTGCGGAAGCCTCCAGGGGGCTTGAGGCAGCCTCCAGATCCTTGGCACGCCGCCGGCATTCACGGGCCACCACCACAGGACTGACGTAGGCCAGCAGCACCACGGCGATGAGCCCCACGTTCATCTGTGGTGGAGTGATGGGTGTTGAGGGCATGGGACCGGGGGCTGATCCCAAACAGACAAGGGGCCAGCTCCTTAGCCCCCTAAAGGCTGCCTGTGCTGAAGTAGCAAACCACACCATGGTACTACAGACTAGCATCTCTCCCCAGCACAGCGTGCCCCCAGGCTACCACAGGGCAGAACCTCCTGCCCTTCGTAGGCCAGCATCCCCACCCAAACTTAGATCAGGCCCTCTATCCCCCCATAGCATAAGCCCCATCCTGCCATGGACTATAGACTCCATCTTCTCATTGTCTGCTGTTTCCAACCCCACGTGGGGGAGGAGTCCCATCCAAACTGGCACTGGGACCTCCTTTCATCCATGGACCCTGACCACCACCCCACCATGGAACTGTCCCCCCTGGGTTATGGGGTATCCATAGGCTGTGGGGAGCACTCACATAGAAAGGGTCCCCCTGGAGCGCTCCATGCACCAGGGCAATGCAGGGATACTGCAGCAGGGCCACCAGCGCCGACAGGGCCATGGCCAGCCCGTAGAGCTTCCCAAAGTGCTGTGGAGGAAACCTGCCAGAACAACCTGCATGTCACCACTGTGCCCATCACCATGCCACCTCCACCCTCATGCCACCACCCCCTCCTTTACCACCATCCCCTGTCACCGCTGTACTGTCCCCCTCCACCCTGACTTCACTATTGCTTTATTTCTCACCCACGTCCCCACTGCTCCCTCTCCTGCCATCACCACTCTGTCCCCTGCCACCACCAACATCAAGGTGCACAGGACTCACGCGATGGCCAGGAAGGCGGCGTTGCCCCCATAGAGGAAGGAGCGGCTGATCACCTGGAGCACGAATGTGACAAACTGCACAGGCAGGATAGGCACGGCAGCACAGATGGAGAATAGCACGCACTGCGTCACCGTTAACACCAGTGATGGCACGGATGCCCGTAGGTCAGCCAGTGCCCCCTGGGCTCCTGCAGGCATGGCAAGATTAGGGCACAGTGGGGACACTTCCCCAGGTAGAGCGGGAAGAACAGGGAGTGCTACGGTCACGTGCATGGGCACGGTGGGGTTGGGGCATCATGGGGACACTTTGTGGAAACGGTGGGATAAGGACATTGTGGGGACCTGTTCACGGGGTCAAAGCGTGGTGGGGACATGTTCATGGATGTGGTGGGATCCAGCCATTGTAGCAGCACATCCATTGGCACAGCGGGGGGTCAGAGCTTTATGGGGGCACAACTACAGGCATAGCAGGGACAGAGCATGGTGGTAGCATGTCCCAGGCAGAGCGGGGTTGGGGACATTTGCAGCTCCAGTGCGCCAACAGAGGGATGGGGGGATAGGGACAGTTACCCTCAGCACGATGGGCCTTGTTCCGCTTGTGGCAGTCGAGAATGAGGCCGTTCCAGGGAGCGCAGAGCACCCCACAGAGCTGGGTGAAGGCGAAGGCGTTGGTGTAGATGCTCACTGTGAAGAGGCAGAGTCAGTGCAGAGGGCCGATTCCCAGCCCCCTGCCTGGCTCATTGTGCCCCCCAGCCACCATGCCCTACCCAGGTGTTCATTGCCTAAGGCCAGGTGGTCGAGCAGTGGGTTGAGGGTACCAATGAAGAGGTAGTGGCGCAGCTGCATGACTGAGAGCCACACCACGTGCCACATGAAGAGCCATGAGAGCACACAGGGCCAGAAGGGCTCCACAGCTGCATTGCCTGCACAGAACAAATACATCCATCAGGCTGCCTACGCCCACAACACGTGGCCACGCCTATTTCCCAAATGTCCCCACCACAGTTGACACATCCATCCACTGGGTCTCGTGGTACCAAGAACCCCCACCCAACCCATGGGCCAACAGCTCAGATGACTGTGTACCACCCACATCCCAGCACCCCACTTCTCAGCACCCATCACACGCATGGCCATGCCCACCCATGCCTTTGCCAATAGTCCCAGCCCTAGTTCTCCCCCACCTTTTGGGGCACTGGGTTCCAGGGGCACTTCCTCCGGCCCATCATCCTCCGGCGGGCGCTTCTCCTCATAGGTGCGGTACGACTGGGAGCGCCCTGGGCATGACAGCCTACAGCACCACTCGCCTTGTCAACCACCACAGCATCCCAGTGCCACCACCACCTCCACTCGCAGGATGGGCACCGTGACCACCACAACCCATGGGATGGGCACCATGACCACCACCACCCAAGAGATGGGTGCCATAACCACCACCACCACCCAAGAGATGGGCACCATAACCACCACCACCCAAAAGATGGGCACCATGACCACCACCACCCAAAAGATGGACACCATGACTACCATCACCACCCACAGGATGGGTGCCATGACCACCACCCAAGAGATGGGAGCCATGACCACCACCACCACCCAAGAGATGGGAGTCATGACCACCACCACCACCTGTGGAATGGACCCCATGACCATCACCCGCAGGATGGGCTCCACCACCTCCTAAGGGATGGGTTTTGCCATCCTGGGAGCACAGGCAGGGCAGGGCCTCCCTTACCCATAGTTGTAGGCAGGTGGCAGCGGGTAAGGGATGTGCATGCGGGGCATGAGGAAGATGGTGCGCAGCAGGTGCCAGGCGCTGCAGGCTGCCATGAAGAGAAACATGGTCCGCAGGGACAGTCCGTGCTCATGCAGCACCTGGGGACATGTACAGGTTGCCACTATGCCATGCTGGCCACTGGTCTCTGCACAGGGCCACCACAGATGTCAGACCCCAGCTGTGCCACTGTCTGTCCTCAGCCCACCTCAGTGCCTGTGCTGTGAACAGGCAAATCTGGTGCCTGCAGTGTTCCCCACCCCGTGCCCACCTTGATAATGAGGAATATGGCAGACGAGGAGTCAAAGGCCCCGTTGTAGAGGGTGATGATGATGGAGCGGTACTTCCCAAAGAGGTTCCCCACCTAGCACACAGAACCCCCCCATAATGCTGTCAGTGTCCCCATCACCAGGCAGGGTGCCCGAGCTGTGGGGTGAGGGTTCAGACGCCTCCCACCTGCATGTTGGTGAGGATGAGGAGAATGCCGCCCACCGACAGCATTGACATAGCCGGGAAGAGCAGCACTGCTAGGTCTGGGGACACAGGTGTCAGTGGGTTCAAGGGACATGGGTGGGATAGGGGCACCCCACATCTGTGTGGGTCTCACCTGGCGTGGAGAAGGCAACAAGCAGGGTCCCACCAGTGTAGAGGGTGCTGAAACATGGAGACAGTGTTCACAAGGGGGCACAGCATCCCCACCCCTGTGCTCCAACACCCCAGCATCCCACCACTGGCCTCATGTGGCACCTCTGAGGTGGAGGAATGTGGGGAAGAGGCTGGCTCTACAGTTGCAGGGGTGCCCTAGGGACATCAGTGGGGAATAAGAGCATCCGGGGGGCTGTAGGCAACGAAGGACACCCTGGGGACATTTGGTGGCACTGGGAAACAAACACTGCTGCCCCCCACCTCCCTCCCCCCTGTGTGAGCAGGGCTCCACCAGTCCCACCCTACTTGGGAGCCCCGATAACCACCCTGCTCCCGATAACGCTCCCCCAGCCCTGCGTCAGCACCCAACTAAAGGGTCCTCCATCCCCAGCACCCACATGTGTCCCTCTGCCACCCCCCACAGCACTCACATGGCGATGAGGCGGGCAACAGCAGTGCCAAAGCGGTCGAAGACGTAGCCCATGGGGAGAGTCATGAAGTTGTTCATGAAGGAGCCGATAGTGAAGACCAAGGAGAACTGCTCATCCTGCCCGCTGCAGTCTGCAAGGCAGCCATCGGTGGGGACAGGAGCACCAGCACAGGGGACACGGGCATGGGGGGAGTGGGGAAAAGGGGCAGCACTGGGGACAGGAAAAGCAGGGAGCCAGTGGGAATAATGGGCACTGGGGCAGTGGGGATACAGGAATGACAGCAGGAACCCGGGGCACCGAAGTGCACCACACAGTAGGAACATGGGAGGCACCCCCAGGACACCAGTAGGAACAGGGCCCCCCCAGGACACCAGGGACAAGGACTCAGCACTGATAGGGATGGTGACACCGGGGCCGTACCGGGATGCAGCGTCCCATTGGGGTTGAGGCTGGCCGAGGACTCGCACCACTGCTTAAAGTAGCCCAGGTTCTTGAGGACGTAGACGAGGGAGGCCCAGCCAAAGATGATGCCGCAGAAAGCACCGCACTCCAGCAGCCCTGAGAGCAGAGTGCCCAGCTTCTTGGCTCGCCCCGCACCCCCCGCCATGCTGTCAGGCACGGGGCTCTGCTGCTTCTGCGGGGGACAAGTGGGGAAGTCACAGCCCTCCCTCTCCACACAGTCCCTCATTTTTGCATGTGACCAACCACCTGGACAAAGGCCAACCCGGCCCCTACTCCATCCCTTGTCCCCTGGGCAGCTCCCCCCACTGACACCCACCTGTACCCTGGTGCCACTGCAGCAGCAGAGTTTGGACCCTGGTCTGAATCCCTGTGTGGGGTGCCTGAGGCACACGGCTGCACTGTGCACTTCTGCTGGGATCACTGGGGGGGGAGGGCAGGGCTGCTGGCATCAGATAGGCAAAGAACTGTTCTCCCTCCCCAGCACCACCTCCTTATCTCCCTGCAGCACTCAGTCCTGGGGACCTGCAACCTCCGTAAGCGTGACCCCCCGGGGCCTGGCACACCGATCTGGTGCATTTCTGAGAATGCTGTACAACTCGCAGCGCGGAGGCACAGCCCTGGGGGTGCTGGCACTGTTGCTAGGACCACAGCACCTGGGGACAATGACACACCCCCAGGGGCCTGATGCACACACCTGTATCCTATGAGGCACCCCGGCACGCAGCTTGGGGACAATGGCATATACCTCCTGGCAACAACAACATATCCCCAGGGAACCTCCAACGGTGCCAGGCGTGCTGACACACCCTTTGGGGACATTGGCACCTCCCTGGGAACCCAATCACAGGCCCTGGGTGCAGTGAGACACTGGTGGGGAACCCAGCACATTCCACCAGTGTCAAACAAGGGACCTGCAGCTGGCTGCCACGGGCGCTAAGGTCACGTCCCCATACACCACACCGAAGCCCCAGCACTTGCCACCACCCACACCTGCACCACAGCATCACCATGTCACCAGGTCCTGCTGGTGACACCAGCGGCCCTGCAGCCAGTGTAATGGCTGCTAATGAGGCCTCATTAGTTGGATGGGGGACAGGAGGATGGCTAAAGATTAACCTGGGCAGATGGCAATGGCTCAGCCCCGAGGTCGGGGGGGGGGGGGGGGGGGGGGCTGCACTATATATAGCTGTCCCAGCAGAGGTTGCAGGCTGGGGGCGCGAGCCGGGGTGGCACAGGAGATCTGTGGCAAAGAGGAATGCTGCCTGCCTGGCACCACCGCTGTGTGCCACCGGTCTCCCCAGGAAGGAGACGGAGCTTCTGTAGGAGCTGCTGTATGGCTGGGCTGCAGGATGCTGAGCGCACTCCTGCCCCATCCAGTGGACCTGGAGCCCTCCCGGTCCCGTCAGCTTCCGGGGAGGGGTGCGGGTGCCCAGGACTGGGCGAAGACGCAGCCCCATGACGCAGCAGGCGGCCCTGACAGCCCCCGCGACTGGAACTTCCCGCAGCCATGCGGGCGAGCACATGGTGAGGCACGCACGTGGTGGAGAGAGCACACGTAACCCCCAGGTTCGGCCCCACGCAGTCCCGACACCGCCGCGAGCATCTCACGCTCCGGCCCGAGCCCCTCTGCTTCCACCGCGACCCGCAGTCTTCCTGGATCCCCGGGACCGCCCCGCCCCGCCGCTCAGGGTCGCTGTCGGGCTCGGGGCACCCTCTACCCGGCACGCCCCACCGCCCTCTCGAGCATCCCGGCCGCCGCTCTCCTGGCCCGGCCCGGTTCGGCCCTGCTGGGCGCGGAGCCGCCCGCCCGCATCCGCCGGGAGTGGCATCGCCGCGGCTCCGCCCTTGTTCGGCCCGGCGGGGCGGGGATGCGACCAGCCCGGATGGGGCTGAGCCCCGTGGCCCGGCCCGGCTCGGCTGGTTCCGAGGACTGCACGCTTACCGTCACCTCGGCAGCGCCCGCTCGTCCTTCTAGGCGGGAGGCGGAGCGGAGAGAACCGACGCGGCCTCCGGGGCGTCGGCGGGGGCGGGGCGGGCCAGGAACTGCCGTGGGGTCACCGGGACTACGACCCCTGAACTTGGGGTCCATCCTTAGTCGCGTGACCGACCCGCCAGCCCCGTGTCCTTCACTACCCTCCCTCCCATCCGTCTGTCCGTCCTCCCCCTGTACCACTGCCCCCACGGCCCCATTCATCCCTTCACCCGTCCATTCATCCCTGCTGGCAGGCGCCGGCCACCCTGCAACCTGCCACTCAGCTGCACAGCCATCCACCCATCCATCTGCCTGCCTCCTGCCCATCTGTCCCATTCCATCCATCCATGCATCCATCCATCCATGCATCCATGCATCCATCCATCCATCCATCCATCCTGCTTCCCACCCACCCAACCCTACACCTGCTCAACATCTGCTCATCATTTGGCATTCACTCTTCACTGCCGCCCTCACCCAACCCATGCCTTCACCCCCACCTCCCCATTCATCATTCCTTTTTTTCCATCCATCCATCTCTCTTCCACCACCCTCCACCACCCTTGCTCCCATCTCATCGCCCATCTCTTTCCACCCGCATCTTGGTGCCATTGCCTTCCTAGGACCTGCCAGGGGCTCAAGGGTCTGTCCCACACCCCCACACCATACCCCGGGTGGGTGGATGCAAGTAAAGGACCAACGCTGGAGGTGCCCAGCGCCGCAGGCCCCAGCACCTCTGTCACTTTGCCCAGACCCATTGGACCCATAGAATAGGGACAGCTATGGCACAGTGGGACCGAGGAACATCGCGGGGGACAGCGAGCGGATGGCGGCCCCTGAGTCAGCCCCGTGCCGCCCGCAACGCCCACCACTCCCCGCCAGCGTCTGTCTCTCCAGCTTGTGATATTTCGCTCGCCGGGAGCCGCGCCGGAGACGGCACCGCAAACACGGCGGGTGCCAGATTGTGCCGCCGCAGCCTGGCACGGCCACGCGAGCCCCTCCCCACCCGCGCTCCGTGGGCTCCCCGCGCCGCCGCTCCCTCCGCGGAGACCCCCCGCCCCCCGCCCCGAGCCCAGCACCGCGGACAGCGCCCGCTCCGGCACCGCGGACAGCGTCGCGGTCCCGCGTGGGTGAGGGGCGAGGGGTGCCGCCTCGGCGCCCACTCGCGATCGCCCCTCTGTCCCGTCCACGGGCACGAACGCCCCTGCCGAGGTGTCCGCCACCCGCGAGGACACAGCAACCCCGCGAGGGTCCAGACATGCAAGGAGGGCTTCCCCGCAGCTCGCTCCCCCGGGCTCACGGCCCCACGCGCGAGTCCTCGCGTCCCCAGTGGGAGCTGCTAGGAGGTCTCGCGTCCTCTGCGAGACGCTCCGCCGGTCCCTGGGGACGCGCTGCGGGGCGTCCCCGTGGGTAGACCTCGTTCCCACACATTCCGCAGGAGCGCCGCGATCCTCCGTGGAGTTCCCCCACGCGCGGAGCGGGACGGCCCGGCCCGGCCGAGGAAGGGTTAAGCGGCGGGACCGGCGGCGAGGGGCGGAGCGCGGCCGCCCCGGGATAAGGCGCGGCGCCGGGCAGGGCTCAGCCCCTCCGGGAGCCGCGGGTAGAGCCGAGCCGAGCCCACCCGTGCCATGCCCCGGGGCGGCGGCTGCCGCTCCTCCTCCCGGCGGCGCAGCGGGGGGTAAGGGGCGCGCACCCCCCCCAACCCCGGCACCGGCCATGAGCCGACGTGCAGAGGGCAGCGCCTGAGCGCCCGGCCCGGTCCCGCCATGCGGCCCCCGACGGCTCGGGACCTGCCCCGAGGTAGGCGTGGGGCGGGCCGGGGGCACGGCCCCGAGACCCCCCCGCGGCGGGACGGGGCGGGGCGGGGGTCCCGGCACCCGCGGCGCTGCCTTCGGGACGCAGCGGCTGCCCCGGGGCAGCGCACAGAGCGCTGCGGGGTTAACGGGGCGCGCGGTGCGGGGTGCGCGCTGCCTTCGGGGCGCACAGTGCGGCGCAAAGGGTGCGCGGTGCCACAAAGCCCCGCGGGTGGATGCTCCATAGGGTCTCTGCAGCGGGGCAAAGGGGAAGCGGGGACGGTGCGGGGCGCTGTAGGAGGTGTGGGGGGGGGGGAGGGGTGGAGCCGGCAGCGGGACCCTGCGAGTGGGGGGGCGGTTGCGCGGGGAGCGGAGCCCGGGAGCCGGTGACTTCAGCTCCGAACTGAGTCAGCCCGCGGCGAGGGGGAGTGACAGATGGGGCGCGGGAGGGGGGCGCCGGGGGGGCGCACGCCGGCACGGGGCGCCGGGGGAGGGGGGCGGCGCCGAGCAGCTGCGCCGGACGCCTCCGTGCGTCCCCCCCCATCCCCATCCCCGCCGCCGAGCATCGGGGGGGGCCGCCTCCCTCCCTCCGCAGCGGGCCGTGGAGCCCGAGCCAGGCCGGGCTGAATTATGGATGAGGCGCTCGGGTTGCAGCGCAGGGCACTGGGAAGGCGGAGGGGGGGGGGGGGGGGGGGAGAGGGGGAGAAAGAAGGGGGGGGGGCGGGGGCGCGAACACCCGGAGCGGCGGCGGCGCGTGTCACCGGGGAGCGCGTCAGCCCGCGCCCACGCGCGCACCGCCCCGCACGTGGCCGCGGCACGCGCGCACGTGGCTCCGCCCCGCCCCGCTGTCGGGGACGCGCGTGGGGGGCGCAGCCTTCCCCCTCCCTCCCTTGAGGGGGTCCCATGGGAGTACGGCCCCAGGGGGACACGGGGAGATCACAAGGGGCAAAGCCATGGAAGCTCTTTGGAGTGCAAATCCCCGTGAGGTGCTGGACCCAACGGGGTGGGTAGTGTCATGTGGGGCGTGTGTGGCCCCCGAGGGCTACCGTGGGATCCTGGCCTTATAGGATAGGCATGGCCGTGTTGAATGGTGCATTCCCCTACTGGCTTCTTACGGGATCTTTGACCTTGTGTCGTAGCCCTAGTGGTCCCCACGAGAGCGTGACTACATGGGATGTATGTGACCCTGTAGAGCTCTTGGAATGCCTGACCTTAAGGGATGGCCATGGCCATGACCATATGGGGTGGACATAGCCCTGTAGAGCTCCCGGAGCTCCTGGCTGCGTGGTATGGGAACAGCCAGGTGGGATGAGGATGGTTCTGGGGGGGGTTCCTAGAGCCTGGTGGCAGCCAGTATCCCTTGGGGTGCTCTCCATGGGGTTGCTGGGGAGGGCCCTGTGTGGGGCGGTGGGTGCATGGGGCTGGGCCAGGGATGCAGGGGCAATGCCCCAGGTCGAGCCTCGGGCTGACGCCCCGCTGTGCCCGCAGGCGGGCACCTGGCGGCCCTGCTGCTGGCAGCGCTGGCGTGGGTGCCCGGTGGGTCGCCCACCTGCCCCGCGCTCTGCACCTGCTACGTCTCGCCGCCCACCGTCAGCTGCCAGGCCAACAACTTCTCCTCGGTGCCCGCGGGGCTCCCGCCTGGCGCCCGCCGCCTCTTCCTGCAGAACAACGTCATCAGGGCGCTGCGGGCGGGCACCTTCGGGCCCAGCACTGTCACCCTCTGGCTCTACTCCAACAACATCTCCTCCATCCAGCCGGGCACTTTCCGCCACCTGCCCGCCCTCGAGGAGCTCGACCTGGGTGACAACCCGCACCTCCGTGTCTTGGCACCTGATACCTTCCATGGCCTCCGGCGCCTCCAGGCCCTGCACCTCTACCGGTGCCAGCTGGCCAGCCTGCCCAGCGCCATCTTCCGTGGCCTCCACAGCCTCCAGTACCTCTACCTGCAGGAGAACGGGCTGCTCTACCTCCAGGTCTGACATGGGCTGGACTGGGTCCTAAGACAGCCCTGTGTGGCAGGGCTATGGGGTGTCCCTGGGGAGAGTATGGGGGATGCCACTGAGGTGCAGTGGTGGGCAGTGCTTGCAGGCATGGGCACGGGACACATCACAGACAGTGACAGTGCAGGTGGGTGATATTCAAGGTGCAGAGACACAGGGCAGTGCGGTGGCCATGAGGCAGAGACATGAAAGAGAGCTCTGGTTATACCCATGGAAGAGGTGATGGGTGATGTCCATGGGGCAAGGAAAGGATGATACTGTGGAGCAGGACCGTAAGGCAGGGAGATGTATGCTGCCTGTGGAGCAGGGGCATGAGGCAAGGTGGTGATACCTGTCATACAGAAGAGCTCTTGGTGATGATACCCTTGAGGTCAGGATACGGGGCAGGGTGATGGGTGGCACCAGAAAGACGGGGGCATGGTGGAGGACTCTTGGCACTGTCTGTCCAACAGAGCGATGGACAGTGACGGCCTTAGGGCAGAGGTCAGGGTGACATCCATGAGTTACAGAGGTGATACAGGGCGTTAGGTGGCAATATGGAGTTGGGATGGCGATCAAGGTGCTGGGTTATGCCTGCAGGGATGGGATCACCCACCCGGTCCCTCACCTGCTCCCCACAGGACGATCTCTTTGCCGATTTGGCCAACCTGAGCCATCTCTTCCTGCACGGCAACCGGCTGCGAGCTCTGTCCGAGGGCGTTTTCCGTGGGCTGCCCAGCCTGGACCGCCTGCTGCTGCACGCCAACCGCCTGGCCACCGTGCACCGCCGCGCCTTCCACGGCCTGGCCCGCCTCACCATCCTCTACCTGTTCAACAACAGCCTGGTGGCTCTGCCCGGGGACCCGCTGGCCGCGCTGCCCGCCCTGCAGTTCCTCCGCCTCAACGCCAACCCCTGGGCCTGCGACTGCCGTGCGCGCCCGCTCTGGGCCTGGTTTCGCCGCACTCGCGTCTCCAGCTCGCCCGTGCCCTGCGCCAGCCCCCCTCACCGCCGTGGCACCGACCTGCGGCAGCTGCGGCCCCGTGACTTCGATGGCTGCCCCGAGGAGGATGAGGAGGAGGACGAAGGCAAAGATGAGGATGACAGCGACGGGGGTGGTGGTGGCGGCGGGGCGGTGGCCGTGGTGGGAACCCCCGGGCGGGCGCTAGGCCGCCCCGGCACCCTGCCTGCCGCACCGCCTTCCGCCTTCTACCGCGACGGGCTGCCACCTCACGACCTGCGGGGCTCCCAGCCCCGGCCACCCCCTCCATCCCGTGACTCCCGCGGCCCCCCCGGGGACACCCCTGTGGCTGCGGCCCCCCGACCGGCCCCCACCCTACTGTCCCTGCTGGGCCTGCTCCTACCCCATCTCTGAGCCCGACCGGGGGGCCTCTGGACCCCTCTCAGGTCCTCCCGAGGTGCTCGGGGACAGGAGGTGTCCCCAGGACTCTGCTCCCACCCGTCCCGAGTGAAAAGAACCCACGCAGGCACCGCGCGGTTGGGAATTCTTTATTAAAAATGGTCTTATTTTGGGAGCGTGGGGCCCGGCGGCTGCGGAGCTGGCTTTCCAGGTCACGGCGCTTTTTCCTCGTGAAATATTGATGGCCCCGGCACCGCTGCTGCTGGCTGCAGGGCCCCAGGGCGCACGCACCGCTCGCTGCGGCACCGATGGACGGACACACCGACGTTACACCCGGCAACGCCACCCCGTTGTCACTCCTGCAGCACCTCACACACCCCCTTTTTGCACGAGAGGCACACGGTGGGGCGTAATGCGACCCACGAGCTGTGAGGACAGCGAGCGTGCGCACAGCCTGACCCACTTCCAGCCAGCCCCGGGGACAGCACAGGCGCACTGCATGTGTACAGATGGATGGACACACAGTGCTCACCCCCAGGCCGGGGTCTCTCTGGGTGTTCATATTTAGCAACCCTGTGCAGGTCTTCCTTGCCCGGTGTCCCTGCACGCGTGCGTATCTGTATGCGCAGCTCCAGGGTTGCCTCCATCCATGTGTCTCCCCCTACGTGTCCCTGTGTGGGTGTCTCTGTGTGGTCCCTTTCCAGGGGTGGAAAGGGCATTGTCCCTCTCCAGCTGTCCATACCAGATATCCTTATGTGACTGTCCCAGTAACAGTCCCTATAGAGGTGTGGTGTTTTCTCACTGTCCCATCTGCAAGTGTTCCTTTGTGGCCATTTCTCCGGGTATTCCCCAGTGTCCTCCCAGCAAGCTCTCTCTGAGGGGCACAGCCCTGTCCCGACCCCATAAGGGATAAGGAAGGTCCCAGCCTATCTCTGAGGCTGATGTGGGCATGGCAGGCAGCTCAGGGTGCCCCCCCTCCAGGAGACGCATATGGCAGCCGGGCCCCATGCAAGGCTGTCCCAGCAGCACACCCAGTGTTAGGAAACACGAGCAGGTTAGTGGGGCAGCCCCTGACACAGCACCACAAATGGGTTTGAGGGGTCCAGGGAAGCAGACAACTGGCCCAGAGCCTCCAGTTTATTGGTGTGGTGGGAAGGGGGGGTCTGATAGGAAGGGCTCAGGCGGTGCCAGTGCCCTGCTGCATGCGCTTGAGGAGCTCCTCGTCCTGCAGCGACAGCTCCGTCAGCTTCTTGCCCATCCGCTCGTGGACATCCAGGTACTTGGCCACGCAGCGGTCCAGGCACACGCTCTCGCCCTTCGACAGCTCCGCCTCCTTGTAGTGGGGGGGCACGCATTTGAGGTGGCACGCCTGCGTCATCCTGCAGGGCAACACTGTCACACCCCAACAGTTCTGCCCGGCACCCACAGTACCCTCCCCATCCCCAGCATCCGCAAAGCCCCCGCTGCCTCCATCCGCGACACCCCCCCGCCTCTCGCACTCCCAGCACCTCCCGCCCACGGGCACTCCCCCGGGCCCCGCCCCGGCCCCTCACGCCGCGCACCGGTTGTACATGTCGGCCATCATGTCCACCTCCAGCTCGGCCGCCAGCTGCTGGGCCCGCAGCGGGTCCATGGCGCTCCCGGACCGGGCTCCCGCAGGATGCACGTGGGACGCGCGCTTCCGCCCACACGCTCAGCCGCTCCGCCCCGCCGCCGGTCTCGACCAATAGGAGACTGGTGGGGGCGGGACAGCAGCGAGTCCCCGGCGCTGATAGGACGCGGGGAGGGGGGGCGGGGCGGCGAGGAGCGCGGCGCAGAGTGGAGCGGCCGCGCGCTTTGGCCGCAATTCGCCCCAAAGGGGTGGGAGCAGAAGCGGCAATGGGCGGGGACAGCCGAGCTGGGGGCACGGCCTGTAGCGGGTCCGGTCCGGCCCGGCCCACGCGTGACCTCCGCGTGTCCCCGTGGATCTGCCGGCACGTCTCTGCCCTCGTGTGTCTGTGCCTGCTATGCGTCTGTGTTCCCGTGCCCCTCTGTGTGATCGTGTCTCTTATTTTCCCCCAAGTGTCTCCCCTGGATCAGTGTACCTCGTGTTCCTCATGTCACCCTTCTCTACCATATATAAGTGTCCCTCGTGTTCCTTCGTGTCTCACGCGTGTCACCCATCTCCTCCATGTGCCTGTCTCTCGTGTCCCCCCCCTTGTGTCCCTCCATGTCCCCTTGTGCACTTGTGTTTCTCATATCCCCCCCACCTGTGACGCCTCCAAGTCCCCCTGTGCCCCCATGTGCACGTGTCCCCCCGTGTCCTACGTGTACCCGAGGTCTCACCTTCCCCCATGTCCCTGTGTCCCCCTTGTGCCCGTGCCATCCTGCAGTCCCCCGTCCCCAGGCCCCGCCCGGCCTCCCACGCCCCCCCCCCGTCCCCTCCCCTCCCCTCCCCGCGGTGCCCCCCTCCGGCCCCCGGCCCGCCCCGTCAACGCTGACTGAAGGCGGCACCTGCGGCAGTCACACGGCCGCGGGGCGAGCGGAGCGCGGTGAGCCGGGCTGCGGGGCGCCAGAGGGGTGTGGGGGGCGTCGCGGTTTGGGGGTGGGAAACGAGGATAGGACGGGATGGGGGGGAGGGAGGGGGCTCGGAGTTGGGAATAGGGAGCGGGTTGTGGAATTGGGACTGAGCTGGAGAAGCTGGGAGGGGGCAGGAGAGAAATCAGAATGGGGAATGGGTTGGGTTGGGGTGTGCAGGGGGGCAGGAGGGGCTGGGGATGGGACAGGGGAGTGGGGAGTGGCTTGGGGTGAATGGGATGGGCTGAGGGGTGGCAGAGAGGGGTCTGGGATACATAATAGGGATGGGATGGGGACTGGGGGCTGTGTTGGGGCGGCTGGGGTGGGCGGGCAGGAGGAACACTGAGGGGCAGAGGAAGGGCAATGAGATTGCATGGGGTAGAGGCACGGGATGAAGGCACAGTGGACACCTCAGTGACAGCCCTGCAGCCCACAGTAGGAGCATGGAGTCCCCAGCAAGTGGTGGAGCCCCCGCCCCGAGTGACACAGCCCTGGGTGACGTCGCACAGACATCAACAGGGCCCACAGAGGGGACGGTTGGGGGGGACAGCAGGGAAAGCGTGGCACAGGAGGGGCAGGGGGAGGCTAGCAGAGCTGAAGGAGGGGCTGGGGGGGAAGCTGCAGGGGATGTGGGGAGTGAGGGCAAGGGGGAGGCAGCAGAGAATGCTGGGAGTGAGGCTAAGGTAGAAGCAGCAAAGGATTATGGGAGTGATGCTAAGGGGGAGGTAACAGGGAGTGCTGGGAGTGAGGCTAAAGAGGAGGATGCAAGGGATGCTGAGAGCAAAGCTAAGGAGGAGGCTGCAAAGGATGCTGGGAGCGAGGATAAGGAGGTTGCAAAGGATGCTGGGAGCGAGGCTAAGGGGGAGGCTGCAAAGGATGCTGGGAGCAAAGCTAAGGGGGAGGCTGCAAAGGATGCTGGGAGTGAGGCTAAGGGGGAGGCT